CAGGCAAGAGAGGATCGAGCTGTTGAGCTCAGAAACAACAAAACAAAGTTTCTAAAGCACCACTAAATTATATAAAAATCAGACCACGGACGGATTGAAACTGGTATTCTGGTGAAATACTTTACTATCTTGTAAAAAGTTTTACAAAAAATTACAAATTAAAAGTATCAACCCTCTGAGTTCAAAGCAGCATTTTGAGAATGAACTGGTAGTTAATCCTATAACCACCTGGGGAGTCATATGTGGCCCTTGAGAATAGGGAGGGACAGATGGGTTCCATCTGTTCCAAGTCCTCTAAGACCCTCCTAGACTGCCTGCCCCTCCCCAACACCATCCTTGGGAATAAACTGTCCTTTTGTTGAGTGGTGAGAGAAAACCCCTTTCAGATGGGTCATGTACACTACCACTGGTCTAACAGGTCATCCACCATTTCTTGACACCTGCAGGCATCTGCCCTGCAAGGACTCTGAGATTGGTGTATCCTACACTGGCATTTCCAATGAACTTGAGTTCACCAATGATGACTTTGTGCCCTGAGCCTTCCATCAGCCTGAAGTGGCTGTAGGACAGGGCTCTGAGAAGCTCCCCCTTGGAAAAGGCAGGCCCAAGTCAGGAGGGGAAGGCTTGAAGCTGCATCTTTCAAAACAAAAGCAAAACAGAACCAGTCCCCTGACTGAACTAGGTAATGGAATCCTGTCCCCACACTATCTTGCTCCTGACAATGGCTGTCTCTGAGGCTTTGGGGACAGCTTCCCCGGGAGGAAGTCCAGGTCAGCATGGTAGATTCCACTGTCCTGCAGTCCCTCTGGAGGCCATCAGCACTGCCATTGGTTCTGGTGCTCTTGAAAACGTGGAACCTAGGCTCACACTGTCCTCGGAGCAGGCTGCCGGTGGCTGATCGAGACTGCCTGCCTGCACTTAGGGAACATCCCTTAGGTGTAGATTATGCTCGCTCTTACAGATGTGTCCCATGGGGGTGGAGGGGGGATTCCCTGCCTAGTCTCTTCTTTCGTCTTCCAAAAATGCAAACCATTTGTGTCTAGCCTGGGTACTGCCTCTGGGAGCAGAAATAACATGGTAAGCAATTGATACCAGAAATTCTAGGGCGGCGATTGTCTCTGCCAACTTTTACATTAATATTTTCACAAATTGCCGGGGGTAACATTTTGCAAAAGATCTGATTACTTTGTAGTATTCACACACAAAAATAAATATTTACACAAATTCAAACATCCAGGAGTCCTACTGAGCAGGTGGGGAACTGGGCACATGGTCGGCCAGCTGTGGGGAGGCCCTGGGCACTGGAGCTTGTGCTGTACGAAGGGGGCTCAGGTGTCCTGGCCCAGTCCAGAGGCCTGGTTGGTGAGCGGGCACATGAAGGCAGAGGTGGTGTGGCTGGGTAGGCATTGGAGGCCACATGAGAGACCACATTTAAGCCCAGGGTGGAAGTGTGCAGGGTGGGGCGCCCTGCCTGCCCACCTGTTTGAGGGGTGGTCTGTCAGGCTGCCCACAAAGCAGTCCCTGCCATAAACCAGTTTGGGAAGGGGCACCTGCTCTGGGATCCAGAGTGGCTCTCTGGTTATCCTGGTGGCCACTCAGCCCTGGCTCCCCTGAGGCCTCCTTGCTCTGAGGGAGGAAAGGCAACAGGGCTTCTGCCAGCTCTGGGCAGGGGCAGGCAGCAGAGTGCTGCTGTCATGGCTACGGAGTGTTGAGGGAGAGGCCCCTTGGCCTGCTGAGGTCTGGGTGAATCCCTGGTTTTAGCAGCACTGGTAGGTATTGCACAGAGCAAGAGGAAGTGCCTATCAGGAAGGAAAGAAACCAGGTCAGCTTTTTCTTGTCCCTTGTCACACTCCAGGGACTGGGTTTCTTATAGGACAGGCCTTTCCCCACTTCCATCACCGATCTGATCCCTTTACTCCCATCGTGAGGTGAGAGGTGGAAGCCTTAGTCCACCCTGGAGCACACAGGCCTGACAAAGGGAGCTGGCCCTGAAGAAGTGGCCCTTCCAGCAGGTTATCTGAGACCGGGGCCTGTGTTCATCAGACCTGGGTCCTTGACCAGCTCCCAGCACTGTATCCTGTCAAGCATCTACAAGAGCCAGGCAATGGCAAGCTGCTGGTTTTAAGGGCCAAGCCCCTCTGGGCTCTGGCTCTTGGACACTAGGTCTGATTTAACCCCCAGCAGCTAGTTAAAGAGTTGGGGAGACAGTCATTCAGAACACGCTTGGAGCACATCCTGGAAAAGCCCACGCTGGAGTGTGAGGTAGAATACAGGTGACCGTGTGACGGAACTCTGGAGGATGGGTGGTGCTTCTGTTTGCAGTGGGTGTGGGTGAGGTCCTCCTGTTTGCCAGTGCCTGGCAGTATCCCTGTGGCAGCACTGGGATGTGCGACAAGACAGCCTAGTGGAGTGTGGTGGCCTTCCCAAGGGTGTGCTGGGCCTACTCTGCTGGCCCCCAGCCCACGTCAGTGTAGTGATATGGAATGTTAGGTACAGGGATACATCCTTCTGATCATACAGACAAAGACTGGCAATCTGTACAAACACAAAAGAATCCATTTCAGAAAAATAAATTACTAAGGGGAGAGGAAGAAAGGGTCCACGTTTGCTCTTCTCAATAAATATGCAATTCTGCTCACCTAAGACTTCAAAGGTAATTATTGGGATGGGGGTTCTAACATCAGGGTCCATGAAGGTGATTCTAAATAGAGCTGCAGCCCCTGTGCCTTGTCAGGGGAGCCCCAACCCTTTTAGAGCTGCCCCATTGGCCTCTTTCCAAGCAGGTCAGAGCACCCGTGTGGTGAAATTCCAAAAAAAAAAAAAAAAAAAAGTGTCCTTGTGCCCAAAGTCTCAGATGCTCGGAGTGTGGCTAGAAACAGCTCTTTTGGATCCCACCTCTCTCAGAAAACAATGTACCAACTGGTGAGGCAGGAAGCTGGGTCCAGGCTGGGACAGCCTCCTTCCCTGGCGTCGGCGTCGTGCATTCTGGGGGCCAGTGGGGTCAGTTCTGCTGTAAAATGAGGTTTTCCAGTTCATCCGCAGAACGCAGCAGGAAGGCTGCAGACTCTCGGTAGCCGGCAATGAGCTGCCTCACAGCGCTGATCTCCGTGGGGCTGAGCTGAGCTGTGGGCATGGTCCTGCTGGTGCTGTTGCTGGAAGGGGTGGGCGTGGGGGGGGTGGGGGTAGAGGCCCCACCTTTCATGCTGAGGTCTGTGGGCCCTGTGGAGAGGAAAAGATGATTCTTAGACTCTATAAATTTTAGAGGAAGTGGAAGCCCCTGCCTGTATCTGGGAAGGACACCCAGCCAGCCATGCCTTGTGTGTTCTGTGACTGGGGCATAGTATTGGATGGAGGCCCTGGTCTATTTCCCTGATGGCTGTATTCCCAGGATCTAGAATAGGGCTTTTACATGACAAGAGTTCGAGGTTGAACCTCACTATCAACCCTATGACAGGCAAAGTTCACATGGGAAATGTGTAGGTTCTGCCTTAGGAATGGGGTGGCATGCATCAGGCTTTAGCATAAGCCACAGCAGGGCTCCAACCTAGCTTCCGGCCTCTACCCACGCCTTTCACTACTTTTTGAGGACTCCCATCAGACACATCCCAGCTCTGGTCCCCAGAAAAGGAAAAGGCGGCCTTGAGACAGCATCTATGCCATTAACTCCTGAGCCCTGCCTCGCCCTGAGTGGTGGTCAAGACTGGAACAGGAATAATAAATAGTCCCAGGGGGGAACTGTACTACAGGCACTGTGGGAAAGGGCTGTTGGTGTGTTTGGGGGGCAGTAAGGTGCATGTGCCATCTCTCCACAAGAAAGCTGAGCGGGGAAGGGTGCAGCACACAGCACCATATTGCAGTGAGCCCTGGGAACAGCCACCATTCCAGTTTGGAAAGGCAGTGAACACCCAGCCCTAGAGGATGGGGGAGGGGCAAGGTCTGCTGAGCCTCAGCACCTTGGCTCCTTGTCCTCTGAGGAGTTCTCTGTCCCAAGTGAGAAGGCTGATGCTCCTGGGGAGAAGAAATAGAAACCACAGGACCCAAGGAGGTTTTCTGGAGAAACTGTCTGCTGTCTGCCCCCTACTGGCCAGCTGTGGCAGCAAAGGAACCCAAGGTCTGAAAACCCCTAGGGATCACAAGCCACCTCTTTGCCTCTCTCCCTTAGCAGCTCCATGGAGTGGGCTGCCAGCACTGGAATTCAGCAGGTTCCTTCAGCAAGTCCTTTTCTGCCACCTGACTCCTCCCAGCTCCAAATGATCCTGGGGAAGCACAGCCAGAGCCCAGCAGACAGGCTTTTCAGCCTGTGGGAGAACTAGCTGCAGTGCCCAGAGACTTCTCAGTAGGCCTGGGACTTTTGGAACAGACTTCCAATAGGTAGACATGGAAGTGTTTGGAGCTTGAAAAGCCTTGTAGGTGTGTATCAAGAAAGCAAGCAATGAAAAGAGCTGAGGAATGAGAGACCATGTACTTGGTGAGCCCTTTCCACCCTAGGTAGCTCATTTTCCCAGCTGCTGCCCTGCGTCCCCTGCCCTCAGCCTTCATCTTGGAGGCTGTCTTACATGATGCTCTTCTGGGCCATCAGCATGTCTCTACTTCCCTGTTCACCGCTGCATTTACACTGTAGAGATGGACAAACCTTGTCTTGGAGACATCTAGACTAGAAGGAACATCTAGGCATAAATTTTGGAAACAACTGTTGCTAAAAAGGAAGTTGGTGCAGCCGCTGATTGGGAAAAGAAGTTGGTATCTGATTTGAACAGTTTGTAAACAGTTATTTTTCCCTCTAACCAGAAAACGTGGATGGTTTGCTAAAAATATTTCCTTGGGGATGTAACTCAGTGGGTGAAATACCTACTCTGGGTTCAGTTTCTAGCACCACAAAAATAAATAGTCCTGGTGTGGTGGCACACACCTTTAATCCCAGCACTCAGGAGGCAGAGGCAGGTGGATCTCTGTAATTTCGAGGCTAACCTGGTCTACAGAGTGAAACCCTGTCTCAAAAAACCAAAATAAATAAAAACAAATGACTACGTAACAATGCTCTTGGAATTGAGAAGGCAGAACAGTAAGTCTGTTATAATCACAGTGTGTTGCAGAACCAGAACCAAGGGGACAGGACAGGTTTGATTCCCTCTGGGTGGTTTGGGGCCATCCCTGTGCAGGCTCTGGTTACAGCCAGACTCTCCAGGTTGCTAGTGGTCCCTGTGGGGCTAATGTGGGCACAAACTGCGTAGCACCCCAGGCCAGAGGAGCAGGCTCTGATTCTCCAATGACAGCCTGAGCAAAGTGAGGAGGAAAAGCCATTAGCATAGCTGTTGTGGGCTTCCTCGAGCTGAATCAAGCGGGAGGGACGGCTCTGGGACCCAGCAGCTACTGCTTGTTCTCCTCTGCCACTGGTGCTTACAGGACAAGGCTGTTCCCAGTGAGGAGGAAATGGTCAGCTCTTGGTTCAGAGATGGGATACATGGGGCACACAGCTGCCCCCTGATCTCAGTTCTGGCTGCTCTTCATGTCTTTCAGGATCCATAACCTCATGAGAGGCCAGGGAGCCACCAAAGCTGCAGTCCTAAGACAAGCCATGCTGCGTATACCAGGTGAAGACTGGTACTGCCTAGGTATGACTGGGCACCAGGTCATCCTTACCTCAATCAATTGGTACTAGTGTCCCCAAGAGTTCTAACTTCCCAGATCCTGAAACCCACTTCCGATACTCCAGCAAAGGGACAGCCATTCTACCCTTGGTATGCACCACTCTTGGCCTGGCTCTAGGGATTAGGCCAGACAGCCTCTTATTTTAGGTTAAGACGCATAAGAAGGGATGAGAGGCTAAGCCCAGGCAGAGACCTTCCAGACACTAGCACTTCTTCCAGTTCTGGAGCACAGTGAGCATGAAGGTGTGGAGCAAGGGGTGGGTGGCGAAGGCTTGGGCTTCCTACTAGGGCTAGAAACTGGCCCTCTCTCTACCTTGCTACTCAGGGACAGTCAGGGGCCTGTTAGCCCGGAGCTCCCCGGCCAGCAAGTGCCTTCCTTTCCTTCCGCCTGCCCCCTGAAGCAGCAACGTGATGTTTTCAACTTCCTTCACTCCTTGGCCCCTGAATAACATGGAGGCACACTGCCTCTGCTTCCTGCCCTGTCCCTGGAAACATTCTCATCACAGGGCTAGAATAGGATGATGGAGGCTAAGCCCCTCTGTGTTTAAAGCCTATGAACTCCCAACCCCCACCAAAGCCCAGCATCCCCACCCCTCCCCACCCCCACCACAATGCGCCTGCTGGAGAGGCCTTGACGCCTGTTCCACTCCCAGGTAAGACAATACCTAATGCCACAGGAGGGGCAGAAGGTATCTGTCTCTGTCTTCCCTCCACCCCTAGGTGCTACCTGCAGCAGAGGGATGCTTCCTGGGAAGCACTTGCCAAGCTGCCCAATTTAGGCATGGAGCAGAGAAACCTAATGTTTAACCATCACCCAAATGACTGAAATGGGGGCTCCATGGATAGAAGCTGAGCCAGATCCTGGCTCTACTGCCAATTCACAAGAGGCCTTTCAGGGAATGGAACCGGAGAGGGACACTTGCAGTGACAGCAGAAGCAAGTGCCACTGGAGAAGAGAAGGGAGCCAAGGTTTTCCTGACCTCATCTAAAGACCGGCTGCTGACAGGGGAGCCGAGCCATTGCCCCACCCCTCCCAAGGGCTGCTGTGCAGACCCAGCTAGGCACTCTCTGGAGAACAGGCCTGCCCCTACTTACCGTTACTGTGATTTCCTGTCTGGAGGGAAGCAGAGGGCTGCAGGTTGCTGCTCAAGGAGCCGTAGCCACGGTAGCTGTAGTTGAGGCCACCGTTGACATACACAGGGTCCTGGGAGTAGGCAGAGGCTGGCAGTGAGTAGGTGGAATGGGTGATGGCTGCGGAGTCCCGAGAGTGCTGCTTATCCAGGGCTATGGGTTCATCCTGCAGAGGAGAGGACAGTGCTGGGAACCAAGGAACAGCAAACCTAACCACTGTCCCTGACACAGGGTAGGCAACGGCCACAGTCCTTTGGTTCCTGGGACCCAGTGCTATGACTTGACCTAGGGGATGCAGTTGGTTCTCTTGCCATGGGCATCTTACCTCAGGGATTTCCCCTGACGACATCTTTCTGTGGACATACTTGACTGTCACTGCCTGGTGCAAAAGTCCTCTCTGTACTGGCCGAGAACCTGTCATCTCCCTGTTCCAGTTTTTTCGAGTCTTAGGGTTACCAGGGATGCACTTCCACATCCAGTCAGCCTTCCTTTTGACAGGTCCGCCAGTCCTTAGTGACTAACCCCTCCAGCACCCACCCCACCCCCCACCCCCACCCCCCCGCACCTCCCCTGGCACCTGCCTCTCTCCATCCTTTCTGCCCCGCCACAGCACTGTCAATCTCAGACTATGTGGTGACTGCCCTCCCACCTCACTGGGTACCCCAGCTGCGGGTACATGTGGAATGAGCAATGGCCGCTGCCCCTGGGGTGAGACACCTTTGAACAGCCAGCATGGTCACGTACTTGTGAGGACTGGTAGATCTCCAGGCGCATCCTCTTAGCTGCTTTTCTGGTCTCGCTCTCACAGGCAGCTGCGAGGATGTTTTCTGCCATGGCTGAGGTCAGGTGAGGAGGAGTGGGTCTGGTCTGCAGGCAGAAGGGACACAGAGCTGCTGTGTGGGCTGGAAGGACCCTGGCCAGGGGTAGGGCATGGCAAAGCCGGGGTTTGGGCTCCAGCATCTGATTAACAGCCTGTTTTCCTCATCTGTGGAACAGACCTACTGAGAAGTTGGGGTAAGGAGTCTGGAGGACAGCCACAAGCCAGGGTGGCCAGGAGGAGGTGCTCACCATCTCCATGCCATTCTTCTTCATGCGACGACAGGACTTGAGGTATGTGCGGATGCGCTTACGGGCCCGCTCCTGGAACTCGGGAAACTGCCGGCTACATGACTCAATGATGGCCTGGATCTTCTCCTTGGGCTGCTTGGAGATGGGCACCATGCGGTCCAGGTTCTCATCCACAAACAGCCGCACAAACATCTAGGGAGACACAGGCCATGGGAGGGACTGGCCTCGCCTTAGACTCATCCCTGTCTCACCAGCCCTGCCTGGTACTCACATTGAAGGCCTTGAGCCGCTCAGGGTCCATGCCCTCTGAGTCATTCATCTTGTCATTGTCCTCATGGTCGTCATGATCATCATCGTCATCATCGGCTGCAGGGGCCCGGCCCACTGTCAGGTCCTCAGGACAGCCACTGACTTCAGTCTTGATGGAATCATAGCTCCCAGAGCTGTAGGGGGGAGACTGAAACCGGGCAAGAGACAAAGAGACAAATCAGATGGCTGCCTACTTGGTCTCCCATGGTAAGCTTGGGGACCAGGTTGTTGAGCTCATCCAGCTGCCTCAAGAGTCTTAGCTGCAAGCTCCTCAGCAAGTGAACCCTACCTCCCACTATGAACCAAGAGGAACAGTTCTGCCCCAGTGTCCCTGGGCTACTGCCAGGAGGGCCTGACTGGAAGAGCAGACAAAGGTCCTGCCTCTTGGAGGCAGTGGGTCAAGTGGAGTAGCAGCTGCTCTGGTGATAGTGTCCACATCAGGACCTGCCATGTTGAGGGAAGGACACAAGAAGAGATTGCCATCAGCCAGCCTCTTCTGTGTGCCAGGATCTGTTTGGGCTTCCAAGGTTCCTCCTGGTTCCCCAAGGGACTGCAACCTTGAGTTGACAAGTGAGCTGTCACCAGAGCAGCGAATGTGCTTGTCTATCGGGAGGAACAGATGGGCCAGGAAAGGGAGGGCCACGAAGCAGAGTGCAGTCCCCAGCTCCCAGACGAGGCTGTTTCTGCTTGTTTCCCAAGAGATTACTATGAGTCCTGGGAAAGCAGGTATTCAAGAAGAGGGTGACCAGACGGGCCTGCCTGGTATAGCTCACCTTGAATGGGGAAGGGCTTACGCACTCTGCTCCTACCCACTTTCTGCTTTCAACCAGACAATAGGCAAAGGTGGTAGTGTCCATTCCAGGACTGGTCACATCATGGGAAGGACACAAAAAGGATTCCCATGAGTCAGCCCCTTCTGTGTGCTAGGATCTAGTTGGGCTCCTGGGTTTTCTCAGCCTGCACCAACGGCCTGTTTCTCCTTGGACTATGGCTTCTGCTTTCACCTGCTTCCCAGCTACTAGCTCGCCCCTTGGGACCCAGCTCCACAATACTCTGCAGAGCCCTGGCTCTGATGCTGCTGTCGTTGGCTTTCTAAAGTTTGTATCTGTGGTGTGCCCTGACCCCCTCATCTCTTCCCTGAAGGACACAGGCATACAGTGGCTAAGTCGGGCCTAGGAGGACACACAGTTGCAGTCAGGCCCTGTGATGCGGCCACAGCCTGGCCTAGAAGGACCTGTTGCTTTCTGAGGAAAAACTCAACAAAGACACACATGGCCTGGTGTCTCTAGTCCTCAGGCTCCCCTCGATATGACCACACAAAGACCTAGGGTGCAGAACTCCAGCCCTCCAGAATAATAGTGTAGGGTCAAAACACATGCAGGGCATAGGCTGGATACCAGCTCACTCTGATGCCATGGGCATGTCAGATCTGCAAGTGATTCTTTAGCTGAATCCTCTGCCAGGGAAAAAGCCAACGAGGAAACTGTAGGAACCCTCAGTGCCCGCCCGTGTGGCCATATGGCCATGGTGGCAGTGGCTAGAGGGCTCTGCTAAGCCAAACTTGCTTCCACGCTGGAACAGCTGCTCTCTCTGGCGCCTGGACCTACTTCTACCCTCATCCCCATGAGCTGGGCTACACATGTGGCACAACGCTTCCGTCACATTAGATCATGTCCTGGGCTTGTGTCCCACCCCTCTGCAAGAGACAGGCCAGGCCAGAAGAGTCTGCTGGGAGTAGGCAGGTGGGTTCGGGTGGCTGGCAGAGTGGAAGAGGTTCTCCAGGAGAGCTGGCAGCTGTTCTCAGGAAACCTTAATGGTGCAGGACAGTATGTGAAATGATGGGCCATGGTTGGGGACCCACCCTGCCCACCTCTATACCCACATCAGCCTGGTCAAGAGAGGAGTTCCAGGCCCTCATCCTGACCACTCGCCCCTTTCTGCATCATCTGAAATCTAGGGACAGGCAGACTGAGTAGCCAGGAAGTACGAGGTCTGTGCCGCCTTTTCCAAAGGTGAACGTGTACACTGGGGAGGAGCACACGAGCCATGGTGTGTGTGCAAGTCAGAGGACAATGGGAGCTGGTTCTTTCCCCCGACCTTTATGCAGGGTCAGAGGATCAGACTCAGGTCACCTTTAACAACTGAACCTTTGGGAAGTTTTTGTTTTCCTCTGAGATCTCACTGTGTAGCTCAGAGTGTCCTGGAACTCACTATGTAGCCTAGGTTGCCTTCAAGCTCCGCGCCCTCCTGCTGCAGGCAGACTCTGAGTTCCGGAGTTACGGGCGTGACTCCCACGCTCAGCAATGTCTTGCACTTCGGTGCCCACTGTGCCCCTTGCTGCTGTTCTTTACAGCAGACTCTGTTCCTGGGAAGGGAATAAGCCTCAGGGACACACATCACCTGCCATCTCTCCACCAAGGGAGGAGCCATCACTTCTCAGAGAAGCGAGACCTATCTGGGGCACCCTCAGCCATCTGCCATTCTAGTGTGTCCATGGCAAAGTGGCCGTAGCCACTACCTTGGCTTGCTGTCACAAATGGGCTGGCTCAGTTCCAACTACACTACAGTCGGTACGACCTCCCTCCAGCCTCCCAGGAACCCAGAGGCACGCGGCCTGCAGCCCCACACACCTCAGGAGTGCTCTTTACCCCATACTTGACGCGGCTCCGCAGCCCGTCAGTGCTGCAGCCGTCGGAGGGGTAGGATGGTGTGCCCAGCGCTGTGCCCGGTGGCAGCTTATCACACAAGTTGATCGGCTGATCCTCAGCGGCAGCAGTGAAGTCCATGGGGGCTGCAGCACCGTTACCATTCATCTCAGGGAAGGCAGGATCGCCCTGTGTGCTGCTTGAAGTGGACGGGTTCAGGGTAGACGAGCCATTGCCGCTGCCACTCTCAGAGGAGGAGTCGTCTGGAATGAGAGCCCTGGGCATGAGGCCCTGTCCCTGCGCCCACTGCTCCAGAGGCCCTGCTGGGTGGGGCGGCCTCAGAGTACCTGTGCTGTTATCCTGGCAGAGAACAAGGGTGCTCTGCTCTCCATACCACATGCTCTGGGGTCGGAACTGAGCCTCAGGCTTACCACCTGAGCTGAGGCAAATCAGGGAAGTGGGACCACGAGGAGCTAAGTGGTCATGACCAGCATATGCAGAGCATAGAGGTTTCTCTTCACCTACAAACCTACGAAGGCCAGAGGCAAGCTCAAGGGACCAGCCTTTCTCGCTGCTCAGAACTGCTCCCCCTCCACCTTCACGTTCTTCTGTACAGGGGGACCTTGAATTTCTCCTTGCCCTGCCCGAGGAAGAAGACCGCTGAACCGCCAAACTCCCTACTCATCCGTGCCTTCCCGTACAAGTCTAGCCAGATCTGCAGCCTCTGCCCTCTGTGCCCGGCCAAGTGGCCTCAGACAGCACAAAGCCAAGTGCTGAGGGGCTGCATCTCCCGTTCCCAGCTGGTCTTCCTGCTTTCTGGCGGCGGGAGCCCCCTGCTGTGGAGAGTGCAGCATTGCAGGATCCAGAGCATAAACTTGAGCGCCAAGAAAAGACATTTTTAGATAAATTCCAGGTTTCTCTTCCCACAGGCCCCTACCTCCTGCTCATTAGCTGGGACCACAGCAGCTACTCTAGACCTCCTGGGGTCACTGTCAGGGGAGCACCTACGTGGATGACAATGGTGCTTAGGTACCCTGGAGGCTCTGCAGCTAGACCCAGAGAGGGGAGGGGCAGGGAGGGGTGGTCAAGGGAGCCCTGACCATAGCCTGGACCAGCCTTTTCCCCAGGTCAGGGTCGCGCTGGACCCCACCCCCACCGCTAGCAGATTATGAAGATTTAGTCCCTAGTGTTGAGCACTGGGCATGAGCGCCGCCTGAACGTCCCCATGGCGACTGAGCGGCTCTAGTGCCCTAGCCAATCACTAGCCTCTCAGCTGCCTGAAGGCGGGGCCGGTCTGCCCATCAAGCAGCCAGGGCCCTGAGTAGAGGGGGATGGGGAAAGTGTGGTGCAGTGACATTCCTCCCCCTCGGCTGCCACAGGTCACGGGGCCAGGCTACACTGCCGGGCCACCTTTAGGCAGTACTGCTCCACCCTCCCTTTATCCTGTGAGCTTGACCCCAGGCCCGGGACCTATCTCGGGGACCTCACTGCCTAAGTCCTCTGCCCTCACAAACGGGCTGGGTTTTTCTCTGGCAGTATCTCCAGCAACAAGTCTAAAAGGCGTAGTGAAAAACGATTCCCTGGCACCATTAACTAAGCACCTACTGTGTGCTGGCCCTATCCCAGACGCAGGGGCAGTGATGACTGGCATGCCTGAGGACCAGCTACATCTTAGGAAGTTTACCGGGAACTGGGGTTTGGTGGGTGCCACCTCCTCAGTATCCTTTCGCAGCTCAGGCCTTCCCTCTGCCATTGCCAGCCCTTTCCTGGAGGTCACTGCCCATGCTCCAGCCTCATGACCTTGCAGCCTGCCCTGCCAGTTCCCATCCTAACCCCTTAGCACAGGGTCTCAAGGCCTGGGTTAGGGCTTTGTGTGTCCTGCTCCTTCCAGTTGGGCCCATGTCAGCCAGCTTTCATGGCCTGACTCTACTCTGCTGCCTTAGGGCACCTGGGAAGAACCATAGTAGAACCTGGTACCTGAGCGGCTCAGGTATCTGAGGCCTGCGGAACAAAGCTGAATACCTACCCTGACACCTCTATCTAGTCTTAGCTACTTCCAAGTTATGACTTCTACCCTACCACAGGCCA